CCCCCGCCAGCCAGTGCTGCCTAAGCTGCTTATTTAAAAATACTGCTAAACTGCAGTGTCCAAAAACAGCCGGAGGAAGGAGCTTAGCCTAAGCAGGCTGATTAACTTAGTGACCTCCCACCGCAGCGGCCACCGCTGTGCGGGGACCCAGTGAGGAGCCATCGGGTGGATGGCTCCCAGCCCACGCTGCCCGGCCCTGGCCCTGCCCTGCCTGCCCCTGGCCAGCGTGTCCCCTGTGTGTCCCCCGTGCCTCCACATGTCCCCATGTCCCTGCAACCCTCACGTTCCCCCTACCTCCCGTCCCGGCACGCTGCCGGCTGCGGTGGCCACAGGTGACAGGCGCTGTGCCCTGCTTGCAGCACGCTGAGTGCCCAGACCAAGACAGGGGCCACCCCGCTGTACCTCGCCTGCCAGGAAGGCCACCTGGAGATCATCCAGTACCTGGTGCAGGACTGCGGGGCCGACCCCCACGCGCGCGCCCACGACGGCATGACCCCACTGCACGCCGCTGCCCAGATGGGCCACAACACTGTCATCGTCTGGCTGGTAAGCGCTGGCTGGACACGGCGTGGCCGTGTGGCGGCACGGCATGGGGCTGGCGGCGCTGGCGCTCAGCCCGCCTGCCCGCGCAGATGAGCTTCACGACGGTGAGCCTGTCGGAGCGGGACGCCGAGGGGGCCACGGCCATGCACTTTGCCGCCAGCCGCGGCCACGCCAAGGTGCTGAGCTGGCTGCTGCTGCACGGCGGGGAGATCACCACCGACAGCTGGGGCGGCACGCCGCTGCACGACGCCGCCGAGAACGGCGAGCTGGAGGTGGGTGCCGGCAGCTGGCAGGGTGCTGGGGTGGGTTGAGGGCCGCCCTCTGGCCCTGCCACACCCCCCCCGTCTCCCCAGTGCTGCCAGATCCTGGTGGTGAACGGCGCCGATCTCAGTGTCCGTGACCAGGATGGCTACACGGCGGCCGACCTCGCCGACTACAATGGCCACGGCCACTGCGCCCAGTACCTGCGCACTGTGGAGAACATGGTACAGTGGCGTCCCGTGGCCGAGCTCGTGGGGAGCGGACGCAGCCCTCCGCTCCCACCCTGCCGCCTGACCACGTGGCTGTGCCGGCAGAGCGTGGAGCATCGCGTGCTGTCGCGAGACCCCTCGGCAGACGGGGAGTGCCGGCAGCCCGACTCGGGCATGTCGTCGCCCAACACCACAGCATCGGCGCCCCAGCCGCGCTTCGAGGTGGGCTCCCCTGCCCGCACCCTCTCCAACTTCTCATCCTGTCACTCCCGCC